TATATTGAAAAATACGGATGAAACTCGTAAAGCGAAAGTTAAGCTCAGGATTATGCATGCTGTGTATGATCCTGTAGATGATTGATCCCTTCCAATATTTTTCATTTTATTATGAAAATTCTTTAAAAAAAGCATGCTTGCAAAAATTTTATTTTTTCTGTGTAAATTATTACTTTCTTTCTGTCTATAATTTTTTAAATTATTACTGCAATTTTTTTTCCTGTTTAATTATTTTTGTATTTAAGAATAAATTTATTAAAAAAGCTGGAAATATTGTATTGGTATTTGCTTCAAATGCTGATTTTCTTTCCAAATAAACTTCATGAATTAATTTTACTAAAACATCAAATCAATATCAAGAATCTGCTGTTTTTTTTAACAGTAAAAATATTACTTAAAAAAAATTATTTTCACTTATTTAAGAATAGTCACAACAGTCAATTCAATGGTGTAAGCTTTGTATAAGTAATAAAAGATTAATCTTTTGAGAAAAATGCTCTTATGAATTCCAAGAAAGGAAAGATGTACTGAAATATCCTTAAAATAGCAGTCAACAGTCCAGACAGTTTTGTCTCCTGTTAAGGTCCAGTTTTGTCTGTTCTGTTTTTTAATTACGTTCTCCATGAAAGGAATTTACTTTTAATGAAACTAAATAGCACACATAATTCATAACATGGACTATAATTTAATGAATAGTATTTGTTATTATTATCCACTCTTTATTACTATCATTTGAACGGAGTTTTGATCATTAAATTCATGCTATTTCTCTGGTAGAAATTCCTGGATAAGGTATGAATGTTTATAAATTTTGATATATTTGAAGACTTGGGGTACCTAAAATTTGTCAATGTGAAATTACTTTTGAGATTTGGTCGTAAATAGAAATTACAGCATATGTTGAAATTAAATTCAGGGCTGCGGCTTATACATGCAAATTATTAAAAATAGATGTATACAAACAGCTTGGCAAGACAGCAAAATGCATTCAATGATTGAGCATAAAATATACATTGTTGGGTGAACGTTTCCTTTAGTATTGTACTAGTTGTGTTTTGCTGGTCATTGTGACCAGTTGTGGGATACTAGAACTAGTGATAATTGATACTGGTAGTACTGCAGCAAACTAACTATAGTGATCGACAGGGACAGTGAATGAAGGAGTGCTAAGCACACGTTTCACTGTCACAGAAACATGTTGCTTTTGATTGAAAATAATAATAATAATAATAATAATAATAATAATAATGTATGGTAAGTACTGTTTTTAGCTTAACTGCTTTCACACCTGCAAAATAGAAAAATATTATATACAGGCTATCTGTTAGTTATCCTCAAGATTTTTTTTTAAATTAGGCACATTTAGAATATCGTATTTCTCCTAAGAGAAATTATATATAAAAATTGAAGATGGTTTTATGTAGTATATAAATAGGCATGTGCATGTTTATAGTATAGAGAGTACTACAGTACAATGCAGAAATATTCCATACTGCTTTGTACAGAAAGATATGTGCCAACCAAGTATTGGTCTTTCAAAAAAATATCTCTAGACCATTTTGTTATTTTTTTTTTTTTACCTTTCTTCCGTTGCCTCTTGGCTAATGAGAAGGCAGATAAAAGATCATTCTGTTGAGCCGGTAAAACTTTGTGGCGAGCTGAAAAAGCCATGACACAACGAAAAAAACAAGCAGAGCGAACGTGGGAAATCAATCGAGCGGGAGAACAGCGTGGGAAAGTTGTAGACATTCCACGCACGTGCAAATTTAGCTTCTCTCATTGGCCATGGCTTACACCTCGTTTTCGCAGGTGTGAACGGGTCTCCCGTATTTTATGCCCTTATGACTATGCCTCTATGTGCTTTACGCCCACATCTGAACGCACCTTAAGCCTGTAAGAGGGGACCATACCCCCTATTAACCCATTTCTTTTGTGTCTTCTGCAACCGCTGTTTCAGACCATCAGACTCTCATGAGTGTTACACACGAACATATGTGTCTATTATAACTGTTGAATGTTTATTTTGTTTGTATTATATCAACCTATGTCTACAGCAAATTTTATTAAAATCTGTCAACTAGTTCTGGAGATTGTGGATCAAATATGAGAATTCTCCTAATTCATTTCACCAGTGTATACAGTCAAAAGTCATTAATTCGGACACGCACGTGCAAATTTAGCTTCTCTCATTGGCCATGGCTTACACCTCGTTTTCGCAGGTGTGAACGGGTCTCCCGTATTTTATGCCCTTATGACTATGCCTCTATGTGCTTTACGCCCACGTCTGAATGCACCTTAAGCCTGTAAGAGGGGACCATACCCCCTATTAACCCATTTCTTTTGTGTCTTCTGCAACCGCTGTTTCAGACCATCAGACTCTCATGAGTGTTACACACGAACATATGTGTCTATTATAACTGTTGAATGTTTATTTTGTTTGTATTATATCAACCTATGTCTACAGCAAATTTTATTAAAATCTGTCAACTAGTTCTGGAGATTGTGGATCAAATATGAGAATTCTCCTAATTCATTTCACCAGTGTATACAGTCAAAAGTCATTAATTCGGACACCCATAGTCCGGAATGATCTATAATCCTGACCTCAAAGCTAGAAACTTTCTGCGCATGCGCCGCGTTGACACATGCGCATAGGCGTTTACGTGTGCGCGTAAGACCTTTACGACTGTGCATATGCGTGTGCGCAAGCGCAGAATACGTTTTCGTGTGCGCATTTAATGTATAACGGACGGTATAGGCTAAAACTATCTAATTATCTATTTCAGTTAATGTTAATGATTGCGTTGTTCCTTAATCTTCGAATTGGATGCGGCTTATTATTTTTTGTAGACTGTAAGAGCAATTTTAAAAAAGTAAACTTGAACTTTCGATTATGTCAAATAGAATTTCCGATGCTGGAGCTCCCAAAGGATCTACAAAACGAAAGTATGTTTCGATGTCCATCAAACAAAAAGTGGAATTGCTGTAAAAAATGGATAAAGACATGAAGAAGGTGACAGAGAGGTTAATGAAATCTAAAAAATTTCGATTGACAAGTTAGTCGGTATTCTCGGCACAGCAATTAACGGGCCTTGAACAGCGGAACTTTGTAACTGAACAAGAAATTATGTCTGTTTATAGAATTAAAGAGAAAGTATTATCACATAAAATGAAGCAACTTAAACCAACTTACATTGAAAGAAATGTTCAATAAAGTAAACAAATAAATATTAAGCTTTTTTTTTTTTTTTTTTTTTTTTTTTTTTGTAAATTTTGATACCCTTTAGATCATAATTATTCTTTATTTCATAAATTACGGTTTCATATTTTTAATTTTAGAATTTCTGCATGACATCTTACAAGATTTAAACTGATGATCTATAATCCGGAAAAATCGATAATCCGGAATCGCCAAAGTCCTGACGAGTCTGGATTAACGACTTTTGACTGTATATAGAGAGAGACAGATTCAATTAGAATGCTGTCCTAAAAACTATGTCTCAGCATGGCCAATAAGCCAATTACTGATGGGAATAATTACATAAGACGTATATTCAAGTAGACTTAAAAGAAACAATACAAATTGAAGCCCAAATAAATCTTTCTCGATCTTGAAATGCTGCTACTAAACATTCATGATTCTCATCAAAATGACTGAACCAAAGAATACTGAAGAACTGCACATCACCACCTTGATTAAAAAAATTTCGGATAAACACCTGCATAAAAATGAAAATATAGTAGCTGTCAAGAATTTACAACTGTAATAACACAGAATCCAATGTTGTTATAACTGAGTAAATTTAATTAGTTGCTATGGTAAAATTACACTTATTTTTAATATTTCATGTCAAAATCAAATTACAACACAAAATTTATTTATTTTGCCTTTTCACATATTTTAAAATATAACAAACTGGATAGAGAAAGACACCCTGACCTAGACCATCAAAGCAGCCTACACAAAGTTAAAACGTCCATCTCTTCTCTCCAGAAGGTAATTAAAAAAAAAAAAAAAAAATCTAGTGATTACACAGCCTATGTCAGGCTTGACAGTATCATTATAAGTCTCTGTCGTGCTGAACGGACCATCATAGAAATGATGGTTTCAGTCCCATGAACGCAGCTAATCTCCTTCATACTGCCCACTCCCTGGCTGGCCACAATTACCCACTTCAGGGTCTTTCACCAAAATCCATCTGCAAAGGTGCCCATTAGTAGCCAAGTACTAAAATCATTTAACACTCGTTCAGTTCGACCCAAGTTGGGCTGGGTGCATACAAGTTTTCATGGTTAATAAAATATATATTTCATGGTTAATTCATGTATAATTTGGATATAAGACAGGTTCCTTTAGAAAGTTCTTTACAAAGCTATCCCTCACCAGGCAGATAGCCCTCAAATGCTTTGACATAATCTAAATAATCATTCAAACAATCTAATCCCATGTTCTGTACCAAAATTTTCTGCAATGAGATAAAATATAAGAACTCCAAGTGGAATTTATAAACATCCAATTAAAAACCCTATTACAACTAATTAATAATAACACATTTCTCGTTTCAGAAATACTATCAACATCAGTGATATTTTCCTCATGAATTTCTTCACAGAATAATAAAAATTTGCTTGAAATGTACAAATTTTACTAATTATTTAAATCTTTGATACTCCCCCCCTTTTTTTAATACAATTTCCTCACTTTTAGAGATACAGCAAAAATTTAAACTGGATAATTGATCAAATAATGCATGGGTATTTAGAAGTTTTCTCCTGGAAACAAATTTTACGTTTGCATGTTAAATACTTAGATAACTTGTTTAAGTCATATATGTTATTACTTTGAATAACAAGAAATTGAAAAAAGAGATCACTGACAGTCTGTTTTCCTGATTCAAAGTTTGTTCACTACATCATTTGAATTAAGCAAATTTAAGCTAGGTTTTACTGCACATGAAATATAAAAAGCATAAATTATACAGAATTTTAAAAATGCATACCATATGCACTATTTCAGGATATATGGCTTCAGTTATCACTCCTCGCTGAGTGAATATGTAATCTAACATCTCATTTAAAGCCGCACGCTTGACTTCCTTGTATTTCAAGTCACTGAGGGGATCCGTCGCAAAATCAAACAAAACACAACATTGCCGCAATTTTTGGATGAATAGGTCTTCCCATTCATTTGGTTGTGCATCTAAAAGAGGCAAAATTAATGATTTAACTGTTAGTGCAATGTCTCAACTGGAATTCAGTTTCCATAACCAAACATAATGAATAAGTTACCATATTACGCATGAGCAAAAAAATAAATTTGTTAATTTTCTACAAAATACAATGAAATAACTAAGAACATCTTAAACATTTAATTTACTTAAAAAACTGCTAATTCCATAAAGAAATTAATGCATTAAATCATTCCTAATAAGAATTACTGTAATGTTTCATAACAAAACACAGGAAATTGAATAAAAAGAATGGTTTAATTAACTTAGCTATTTTTATAATGCAATTATTATTCTGTGTTAACATCTAAATCATATTACTTATTCTTGAATGGTCATTTCTTAAGAGAAAAGAGACACAGTATTTAAAATTACAAACAGAAAAGCTCATTTACATTTGAAAAGCAGATGGGTAAAATATATTCTGCAGGGAGTGAAGAGATAATTTTTATTTATTGATTACTAATTAAAACAATCTTTTTATTTATCTATGTATATATTTATTTATTTGTTTGTTTTAGCAAGGTTCTCATTGAATTCAACTTCTGATGCTCCTGATTTTCCATAAATATGCTGCACAATTTCCCTTACCAAATATTATTAACTAGTTATCAAATTGTGTGTGTCTAAGTGAATAATGTTATGCATTTGCTACTAATTACAATCATAATTAAATCATTTAAAAAATTAGGCAGTTTTAAAAAGGAAATATTAAAATCCTTTAAAAAACTATCAAACTACATCATTTAAGAAAGATAAACTTTGTTTCACAACAGTTGTACAATGCATTGATGTTTTAAATTTATTATGTCTTTTTCTAACAATATTCAGTACTTATTGGTTATGGGGAGCATGTGCTGGAGGCTGCTTTTCCTGGTTATTGCCAACATGAACATTAGTAATTTTATACAATACGATCATACATTTAATTCATTTGAAATATATTTGAATTATAATGGGTAAAATTAGTTTTACCTTAAATATTCTGGTCTGTTACCAGGAATAACAACATAAATTTGATACAAACTTTGTAATAAAACTTTAATGTATACTGAAGTTAGATCAACATTACTTACAAAAAAAAAAAAAAAAAAAAAAAAAAAAAAGATTTTCTCCATCAAAATTTGTGGTGGCCATAACCTAACTACTACCAATAAAATTTCACCAAATTTATCCCACCGACTTCATTTTGCCACATAAATTCTGCGAGATACGAGTCCAAGTGATGCCTCACAGTTCCTCTGTGCTACTTGTTCTGCAAATTCGTGGATCCCTACAGCCCTTTTATGGTCTGCACATGTGCCTTGATTGTCAGATCCACGAAGTTATATCAATGGTTCACTTTCAAATGTTTAAAGGTGGCTTTTTGTAATTCTCCAGATTTGTAGCCACACCAGGAATCTGAAAATATTGTCGAGCCATCTTCTATGTGTGCAACAATTTCTGAAAAAATGTACTTGTTTTATGATCAGGCAACGTTATGAGAAAGCATTCCTTTGTTTCCCTGGAAATGCCACCAAACATCCATTGCTTGGTAAGTAATCAGCTGCAATTCCTTTTCCGCCTCAAGAACAGACTTTTGTCAAATTCGATTATCTTCTCTATTCCCCCAGTCTTCTTTGTCGATTACTTTTGCAGGAACTGGAAGCAAATTTTCAGCATATAATTGTTCCAATCTACAGTAGTTTCTGGGCTGAACATTCAAGTCCATCCTGACATTGGTACTACGACACAGAAGTAAGACCCTTGGGCCAACTGTAAATAAAGTGCAAGGCTTCTGTAAATGGAATGCTAGATCCCCTGAACCAATTCTCAATGCAAAGATCAACAGTACACCGGCAAACAACAATATTTATACCTCTGCCGGCACTTTTCACCTACTTGTAACTACATTGCGTAACCGTCTCGGCAAAAATGGTTTTGTGATAAAATGTCTTTCTCTTAGAAGAAACTTATAGCATCATCTTCCTTCATTGGAAAATTCTAGATTTCCATCATTGTCACAAAATTGCAGGAAAACTTAGACAACATTATAACAGGAATGAAATGGCACTAAATTCGAAAGTTGCCGATTTTTTATAATAAGCATTAATATATGAATTATCAGTAGCCAGTAATCTGCACAACAAGAATCTGGCATTGTTTCTACGTGTTAGGAAACTTGGCTTCATGGTTCCTATAACCAACAGGTACCTAATATTCTGCACTTCTTCTAAAAGGATTTTTGGCATTGTCAAAGTATTTTTTCTGCCTTCCTTCTTATTTTCTTCTCAGCATTCAGCATATCCTCTTTCCAAATCAGTCAGATACTGTTGCTAGTTACTGAGATTTAAAAAAAAAAAAAAAAAAAAAAAAAAAAAGATAAAATACAAACATTGTCTTCAACATATTACTAAACACAAATCATTTGGTGATACTTTCCTCACACAAGCCTTTAACAAGTGAAAAATTAACTTTCTAGCAATCTTTGCAGAAACAAGAAAATATAATGTTGGTAGTAATCACGTGATAAAGTGGTAACAAGAGCATCACATGGAATTTGCTACATGCTAAGCAAATATATAAACCATTTACTGATGCAGAAATTGGGGGGGGGGATCTGAAAGATTTAAGATTTTAAATTATGTCCAAAGAGGCGTTTTTTTAACATTTTGTGTGTTACCTTTACTTATTAAATATGTTCTACGTACTCAAATTATAAAATTCAGTTCAACAGCAACATCGCAAACTAATTTTAAAATGAGCACATCTTTAGAATTTCCGTTACAGAATCTCGCACGCTGGAGAAAAAAATTTTTTTTTGGTATAGTGTTGCCATTGCTTGCTTTGAAATCGTTTAGTTTTCTAATGTAAAATTTGTTAAGTGTTACAAAATCTGAAATCGATAATAAAACAAATTTCAAATTCAAAGTAGGGCTTCCACATGCCCATATTCTACGGAACATTTACATTATTCAAATTTTGATGGTTTTAGAGTACCACTATTTTATCACAATGCGAGAAACATACATACATTTATGCAGATTCTTCATTCTTTATTTTCTTTAAATATAATTCAGAGCTGTAATGTTTGTTGGCAACAGTTTGAAAAGTGAACCGACATTTAAAGTTCTGAATGCAAAATGCCAAAATGAAATTAATAGCCCTTCTAAGCTAATGCTCTTTGGGCTTAAAAAAAAAGTTATAAATTAAGACGGTTTAAACATAAGACAGGGCAATAATATATGGTGGCAACGATTTGAAAAGTGATACAAACTTTTAAAGTTTTCCACACAAAATGCCAAAGCGAAATTAATAGTCCTTCAGGGCAAATTGCCCCTTTGGACTAAAACATAATTAGTGACGTAAGTCAAATAATTACACAAACTAAAAATATCCAGATTCTATCTGCATTAGGCATATTAAAAATAATGCAAAACACATTTTCAATCATATCACCAAAAAATGAAAAAGTTGTGTATATTTCAGCTTGATTTTTGCATCAGCTGTTCAATAACACATTGCAGTGTTTTATTTTTATTAGCTACTGTTCATGAATTAGAGGAACTCATTTCCAGCATCTCTTGTAATTTACTTTCATTCTGCACACAAACAGGCATGTCGTGTTCAAATTTTAATTCATTTCCTTTCCAGAGTCTGAGTGTTTGCTATTTTGTTTAACGCAAGATAAAAATCAAATATCAGGCATCAGGTTTCATATCAATCAGGATCATGAATATTATCAGGTTTTTAAGTTTTATCAGATTTTAAAAGTTTTTAAAGGCTCATTTTATTCCACTGATATACTGTGCGGAGCTACAAGATCTCATGCTATGTAAATTAGCAACAAAGCTTTTCGTCCTGGATATTTTCTTCACAAATGAAAACAAAATGCATATAGTTTATGTTTAAAGTTTTTTAACTGAAACAGTGCATATATATGATTATTTAAAAATAAAATGGGAGAACAATAAAAAAGTGGTGTGTAACTTTTGCTTAAATTATTAAAGAGTAAGCACTTATTTTTAGCATAGTTTGCTAATCAATTATTAACTTAATAACACTTTAATAATTTGAATATAAAATTTTATGCCTACACATTTCTATTAATATTTCTACATTAAAAAAATGTCTAAAATTATTACAGAATTTTTAAAGCAACAATACTTCTTTTTCAGTTTATATAAAAAATTACAATTATTAATAAAACTTCAAAGAGTTAAACAAAACTTCACCAACCTTTAAGAAGAGGCAGTTTTTGAAGTTCCCTGTTTTTTGAGACATTAAACCTTGAAGAAGTTTGTCGTTTATCTTTTTTAATATATGGAGGACCGCTGTACTTGATTTTAGTTAACTGAGTGGGTGGTGGAACATTAGCATTTTTAGCATCACCAGCTACAGGGGAAAACTAAAAGGGGAAAAAAATGCATATTGAAATTAGCAAATTATTACCCTAAGTTTTTTTTTAATAATATATATACATACAATATATGAAGTATGGTATATGAAGGATAACGAATATAAGAATGACAATCAAGATATGAAAAGACAATGCCTGCAATGAAAAATAGTATACATTTAATATAAGAACAGAAATATTTTTAAAAGCTAAATCAGTAATTTTCATCAAATTTGTAAATAATAAGCAAAATCCTTATTAACATTCAGCGAATTTCATATTGCACTTCAGACAATAAAATAGTAATCAAAGTATTTAGATAAATTTACAGAAAATTATCAAGAAGCTTGAAGTATGATCCCAAATTATTCCATAAACTGTTTGTCTAGTTACCCATCACATGTGTTCTTTTAATACCTATATTTGTGTGATCTCAATGACAATTTCGCTTTGAATTCTATGTGCTGTCCAGCAAAGCAATCCACATTAATTGAATTTATTCCTAAAACCAGCATCAAAATAAATAACCACATGAAATGTGTGAACATCTTCAGCAGGGATGTGATCTTTGCATTGCATTTATAATCACAATGAGATGAAGGAAACTGTGGATACCACTGCAGTTATTGATGATAAATCTTGCTCAAACCATCAGGTTACTATTGCCACATACGTGCATTTCACAGATGTTGATACGATAACAAACTCCAGTCATTCTTCAGACAAAGAATTTTCAGAAATTAGTTTGTAGATCAAAATATGATTCAGTCAAAACTAGCACCATAATCCACTACTGCAGAGTCCAGCTGAAGTTACAGGGAAACCAATACTAGCTAATTTGGTTCTTGCGAGACTGGAAGTTATCATTCCAATTATTAAAACATCTCCAACTCAAAAGGAGGCTGAAACGACCAACTTCAAAGATTAAAATTTGGACAGCTTGTATTTACAATTAATTCAATCTCCATTAACACTAGAACCGCGGGACTTTCGATATACCTAGAACTATAATGCGGGTCAATTTGACCCTAGACAGAAAACTCCAAAATATATGCACAAGTGATTACTTTAGTTAACTAAAACATTTATTTTTATGTAACAATCAATATTTCTTAGAATTTACACTAAATAT